CCCCCCAGCGCCTTTGCCCCCTTCGCCGCAAAACCATCACCTCATTTTTGGGGTTTGGTTTTTTTCAGGGAAATGGGTAATTTTGCCATCTGGTGTAAAAAAGGGCCGGTTTTGAAACACAGCCCCCAGCCCGTCCCCAAACCCCGGACCATCAGCACTGGCCTGAAGCAGCTCTCGCTCCAGTCCTCGGACTCTGCCCAGAAGTACGTCAAGCATTAATTTGGCTAATTATTAATTTTTTTCCTCCCAGTCTTACCCCAACCAGTCCGGGCCTGGGAATAAATCCTGGCGACTGCTGGTGCCACCTCGTGGTTTCCATTCCCCGGGGTCTGGGGCTCGTTATCTGCTGCGTCACATCAGATATTAATTATCCCACTGGGCTACAGGTCACCCCCGGCTCGCTGTAGCATCAAACGCGCGTCTCAGCACGGAATCCTGCACGACGACGCCAACATCTACGGCCTCTCGGGTAACGCCTTTCTTCATCGGGAATCAAACGAGGAAGCTGCGTAAAGCGAGCGTGGCCGCGGTTTAAGGGGTCCTTTAAAATCAAAACACCGGCTCGTGCTTCCCTCGCCCAGAGTTCTTCCCTTTAAAGAGCGGAACTGAGCTAAAATTTTTCTTCCAAGACTTTTCCCTTCCTGAAAGTTATCCCTTAATTCCAATGAAGAGGTGGCTGCCACCTCGCTCAGACCCTTCTCTGGGCGCTACGGTGGCCCCGTCCGCGCAGCTGCTTTTTAAGCAGCAATTCAGCAATTGGGGTGTTTTCCGAGCGGTTCCTTTGACGTTCCTAAAGCCGCTCCCGCTTCCCTCCCCAGCGATGGACGGCGTCCCCTTCGCGCTGCACCCCAAGTTCGAGAGCAAGCTCGGTTCCGGCAGTAACGTGAGTCTTCCTTTAAGCTGTTTCTCAATCCTACCTCAATAATTAGCCTTAATTAAAAATACATCTGGGGTTTTTTTTTAGGCTATCCTCGCAGACCTGAACGTTAAGTCGCTCGCTGATATCGAGAGAGAGGTAAAGGGGGTTGCTTTGGTCATGCCCCTCTTTTTGGGGTCGTATCCTGAATTTCTCAAACTACCACCGTCTCGTCCTGACCGTTCCGTTTTTCGTTTTCAGTACAATTACGCTTTTGTAGTGGAAAGGACGGCCGCTGCCCGGCTCCCGCCCGGCGTTTGTTAGCGCCGGAGTCGACCATAAAACACCGCCAAACACGCGGCTGGGCCCAGCTCCTCTCTCGCGGCTGAAATTCCGGCTGAAAACCTGAAGAAATGCAATCGCTACCCCAGTACAGGAATGGCTGGGGGGGGGGGGGGAATAAAACGCGATTCTCTTCTCACCTGCCAAAATGATTTTTCTTAATGCTTTGGAAACACAAGGCTTCAGGCACATACAGCGGCACGAGGTGTAGAAGTTCTTGGCAGTGTTTGATCTCCTGCGCGCTGTCGCCGCTCCAACTCTCTTTTATTTTTCCTCCTGCGAGGGCGGTTGCAGCGTTTCTGCTGTGGGACAACTCCCACCCCTCGGCCTCACCGCCCCATTTTTGTTGCTGTTTTTACTCCTGGACGCGGCTTCGCCGTCTGCTAAGAACATCACAAAGCTTTCAGCCCCACAAAGGAAATTCCAAACATGTTTCAAAATACAGCGATTCTCATTTTAGTTACCAAATTCTGTAAACGTTTCCTTAAACGTTAGGGGAGTACAAAACTCCCGCCAGTTGGTGCTACGTCCCGGAAACATTAAAAAGTCAGGTCTCGTTTCACAGAGGTGGTTTCCACATGATTTGGAAGAAAGCTTCCCCACGCCTGTTTCTGAACAGGCTCAAGAGTTATTGTCAAAAGAATTAAGGGTGATTCTCGTGATGGCGAAATGCGGCGCTGGGTGGTGTCCTCCGCGCAGCGCTGCCGGGGGTTGAGGACCTCGCGATCCCTCTCAGGAAGGCACTTTAAGTTTTGCGCTCCCCAGCAGAAACTGAAGAATTCGGTCCACTAACAAGGCGAGGAAGAAGTCAGCCAGCAGCACTTCCGTGATCACAATCTTGAACTAAGAAAACAAAACCAACCGGTTAATTAGTCCCTCTCATCCTTTTCCTCCGTTTCTCTGTCCCCACCGCAATGGCTGAACTACAGCTTGAACTTCTGCCTTTCACAGCATGCTCTAAGTATTGATAAATGGGAAAAACTTCTGCACTCGCTGTAAAAAATCACAGAATCAAAGGGTTTGGGTTGGAGGGGACCTTAAATCCCCCCCCAGTGCCACCCCCTGCCCCGGGCAGGGCCACCTCCCCCCAGCCCAGGTTGCCCCAAGCCCCGTCCAACCTGGCCTTGAACACCTCCAGGGATGGGGCAGCCACAGCTTCTCGGGGCAACCTGCCCCAGGGGCTCACCGCCCTCACGGGGAAGAATTTCTCCCGAGATCTCCCCTAAATCTGCCCTCTGCCCCTGGTCCCACGGCTCCCCTCCCCGATCCAGAGTCCCTCCCCGGCTCTCCCGGAGCCCCTTCGGGCACTGGAAGGGGCTCTGAGCTCTCCCCTTTTTCGCCTTCTCTTCTCTGAACCCCCCAACTCTCCCAGCAGAGGGGCTCCAGCCCTCCCAGCATCTCCGTGCCGTCCTCAGGCCCCGCTCCACCAGCTCCGTCTCCTTCTGCTGGTGGGACCCCCCGAGCTGGAGGCAGCACTGCAGGGGGGTCTCCCCAGAGCAGAGCAGAGCGCAGCAGAGGGGCACAATCCCC